TAGATTGACAACTTAGCCCTAACCTGTCACTGTTAAATTTAGCTGTCTCTTCTACTCCAATAGCTTCATGACTCGCACTTCTTATCTGTGGAACTCCCCCTTCTTACTTGCTTCCCTGATAGCTAAAATCTCCAAATATTCAAATCCAATGTCAATCGATATCTCCAGATGTATTAATCTATTTCCCGTCCTTCTCTTTATCCTTTTCTCTATCACGCCCCTTTACTTTTGCTCCTACACTCTGTAACCCCTTGCGTGCTAGTGGTACTCCCGCCTTGCTTGGGGTGAAATGCTTTAAAAAAAAAAAAAATTAAAAAATAAATTAAAAAAACAAAAACAAAAACAAAATAGAGAGACCGTTAAAGGGAGATGACCGTGAATTTGAAATCAGAACATTATGATTGATAAATCTCTTCCCCAATTTGCGGACACTAGTTACTATATTCTTAATACCTGACATAATGAAAAAGTATTACAATGATAAAATCGGTCAATAGTTATTTATAACTATTTATACCGGTACTCAAGTATACAATTACTAGTAATCCATGATAATATTTTTAATTTTGAAATTATATTTATTTTTCGCATTTGAATTTTTAAAACTGTTTCTAAATCTTTGATTGTCATTCAATCACCCCGCCTGGCTATCTTCATTTGTCCACCTATGAAGCGCTTTGTACCATTTGGAGAACCTTTGAACTATTAGAGAAATGAAAATCAGCGGTTCAAATTCCGGACTACATTCGCAGGAATACACCTGCTAAAGGCATGGATTCATCTATCCCCGTTCCCCTTGTACCAATATGACTGGTTTTCTACAGTTTATAAACACTTTGCAAATTACTTAAAGCCAGAAAATATTTTTAGATTGTAATATTTTTCGAAAGATAATAATCTTCTCTTTGAAGATTATTTAAAATCAGAAAACACTGAAATAATACAATGCTTCTTTCCGGGTAAACTGACATCTAACTGAAGAATGAAGAATGAAGAGATACAATTCTTACTAATTAACCTATAGCTGGGGGAAAGAAGGTGCATTAAGACCTTTCTCCGATTAAAAATTCTGAGCTATAATCCATTACAACACTCGCTAATCCAAGCTTAAAGCACGTGGTATTAACAAGCGGTCACCCATCTTGGTACTTAGCAGGTTCGATTTTGCTTAACTTCAGTACTGTACTGTACTGATGCGGCATTCACCCTGGGCGGATTGAGCCGGCTTCTTCCTGTTATGAGAAGAAGATTCTTGGGATAAATTACAGAAGTAGGGTACCCAGGCCTACTTGGATAACGTTCTTGCTTGCCGCGGGGTTCCCACAGACGCAGAGACAGGAACGACCAGAAGCCGCCGGTTGCCGATGCAGACGCTCCTTGGATTTTCACCAGAGCCCTTGTTAGCCGGCGTGTGTGTCAGACCTGTCCGCATTGGGTGGCCCTACCAGGAACGAAGTTCCGGGCGGTATAGCTCTGACACTACCGTTTACACTCCCCCCCCCACCGACTGTGAGGTAAGGGTTGGACTTAACTTCAGTGAACTAAAATCAGCCAGCTGGGTTTAAATTCTGACTAGTATGATGCTTTCACTTTCGCATTAATACACTCGGTGAAGGTATAATTTCATTTATTGCCGTTCCCCACATACTGTTAAATAAAAGGCTACACTAGGCTTTCTATCCTTGATTGGCAGTCTGTCTAAGAGAATGCAAACTGTGGAAAGGGAAAATAATTGTTTCATTGATCCGTTTTCTCCGGTTTCTCGGCTTTTTGAAGATGATTTAAAGCCAGAAAATATTGATATTTTGCCAGAGTTTTTGGAAGATAATAATGACGTACTGATACAAGTGTTACTAATTAACACATAGATGGAGGGAGAAGAGCTGGATTCAAATGTTTCCAAAGTGTCAGTTAATATAACGAACCCAACTGGAAATAGAACTCGGCTGTCGGATTAACAATTCCGAGACGTTATTCATTATACCTGTTGACATCCAAGCTTACAGCATCTATTCTCGTACATACATATTAAGTATTTGATAAATAAAAAGATAGACGAGACTTTCTAGCCATGATTGGCAGCTAGTCTAAGAGAATAAAATCTGTGAATTCAAAACCGATGAAAGGGAAAAGAGAAACTACTCTTCCCTTCCAATAGATCACGGCGATTCATAAATATAAGAAAGATGGCGCTTACGTATTAAGATGAGTTTTGTATATTGTTATTTGGAAACGTTAACTCTTTCAATCTGTTACACCAGATAGTCGGTCAGTTCCTCTTTCTTTTCTTATATTTTTTTCGATCAGTTTTTTTTTTCGACTAGTCTCTTTTTCTTTTCTTAATTTGTTTTTTCGTTCAACCCCTCATTCTTTTATAGATTTTCTTTTGGTAATCCGTCCTTATCTTTTTTTTCCAGTCTATTAGTTTTTTCTTAACATTTTTTTCGGATAGTCTTTTTTTTTTCTTAAATTCTCTTTCGCTAAAGTTCTCTTTCATTTC